GCCCTCTCCCCCCCCCCCCCCCCCCCCCCCCAGGTACGTGAGGCACTTCTTTTTTGTTGTTTTCAAGTTTTCCAAACAGCTTTTCCCCTCTGTGGAACCATCATGCTAATGAGGTCCACAAAGGTTTTTACTATTGATAGCAAAGAAACAAAAGCAAAACCAGTCATCAACACAATCACATGACTGAGAGCAGGCCAACTTTACACCTGTTGTTCTGTCAGTTTACCTGTCTACGTTCATGATAGTCCTTTAAGAACCAAATTATATATATTTCCCTGAATATCGTGCATGAAAATGCAGTATTATTCAGTTTATTTTGTATTTCATCTCTAATCGATTCTAAGTGTATAAAGATTTACACTAAATTGAACCTTTTTAAAAAAGCATACAGTCAAAATAATAATATATCTAATTCTAACATGGTACCAAGCTTTATACAAAAGCTCTATAGTTGTTCTTGTCCTTTTGCATCAAGTCTCTAATGGGAATCACCAGACAAAGGAATAATAGAAAATCTGCATATTTTTGTAGAAAGCCTTCAACTCATGTTGCAATTTTCAATTGAGATGTAGAGTATGTGTTGTTTGTGAATGCCCTGGTTTTTAGGTTTGCAACGACGCTCTTCAGCTTCATGGAGGGTATGGCTACCTTAAGGATTATGCCGTCCAGCAGTACATGAGAGACTGCAGAGTCCATCAGATTCTAGAAGGTAGGGAATAACATGGCACTTTTTGCTTACTTACCTTCTCTCAACAATTCACTGTCTGTCAACATAAATATAATTTAGTTTATATTAAAACAGCTGATCATTGATTGACACAAATGTTTTGTTCAAATACAGCTTTTATTACGCCAGATGCCCTCACATACTTTTGGGTTTAATACCAATAAAAAGTGTACTTACCATTCCCTCTGATTCTGGTGACCACTGAATCAATTGTCTTCCTCTCTCTTCTCTCTTGCAGGAACTAATGAAGTAATGCGATTAATAATTTCCAGAAACCTCCTGCAAAATAGCTGACATGGGTGAATTGATGGAGAGTATTTTCTACTATTTACAGTTTGTACATGTGTAGGTTTTAATTCTTACAGCTATCACGCCTTTTGTTTCATACGCCACAAGGCATATTTTTTAGGGGATATATTTTTTTTCAAAAAAAGTGGATTCCAATATGGTATGGTATGCTGTTAGTATGCACACAAAGACATAATACCTCTTCTCAAGTGTTTTTATCACAAAGTTGCAATACCCAACTGGTGTCTAGACCAGTGAAGAATTAAATTTGACTGTAAGAAATAAATTATTTATATTTCAAATAGGGTCAATTCTAGGACATGTAAAATTTGAAGTTCCCTAACTGGACAGAGAAATAAAAGAGTGAATAATTAGATGACAGATGTTGCAGAATCTTTTTCCTGATTTCTTTTGTAACTCTACACGTAATGCAAGATTTTGATTGCCTGAATAATTTATGACATAAGTAGTCTCCTAGACAGCTCTTTTCCAAAATGTTCTCACACACCTTCCCTGTAGTTAGCAGGCAGAGGTTCTGTGTGAGAACCCTGACAATGTCTGGCAGTAGGCCACAAATACATATTAACCAATGTGGCATCCATGGTAGTCAATCCTTTGGAAGTAAATGTACAATAGGCCTTGTTTGATCTGTCAATATTCTGACATGGATACAAGGCTTTCAGGACAAACTTTTATATTTGGTGGTGTTTTCTTTGTTTCTAAGTCTCTTTTAAGAATTGTGAGACAAAAGAAGCTTAAAAAATTTGTAATTTTGACCTGAAAGCCTCGGATCCATGTTAGAATATTGATATGTCCAACATGGCCCATTTCTTTCGCTGCTGTGCTTATGTTTTCTTCTTTATCAATTGATTCAGACTTTTATTTTTTTACTTGTCTATTTTAATGTTTTCCCTGTACCACTACCAAAACCTGAACTGCTTGTGCACTGCATCTGGCACCCAGGGTACTATCTGTTTTGCACAGAACTGTGGCCAATTTATAAAACCAGAAGCATATCACCTAGACTAGGTGATATGCTTCAGATAAAACCTATTCAGCATTAAAAAAAGAATTATTCAGCACAACCTGAATTTTATTGAACCATTCTGCACCCCTGGTCATTCTAACTGCAGTAGAAGTTAGAATTTGCAGGAGGAAGCTCCAAGTGTTTGTCATCAATGGGGTATCTCAAAATAATTATTATAGTCTAGATTTTTCAGGTTCATCATTTGAGATCTGTCTCCATCATAAAAATCCTTCTCCCTTTTTGTTTTACTGTTATTTTCCTCTCTATTGTTTTAGTTTTCACTTCAGTGAAGTTTTATTTTTTAGGTTTCCCTTGGTTTGAAGGTGATTTTGTGATCACAAAAATACTCTGTCTCAATGTACATGTAACATGACATAGTCCCTTAACAGGAAGGACATTTAAGCAATTTTTTGGTCACTCTAGGATGAGGACACTTCATATAATGTCAAGGCTTTAGCATTTTTTGAAGTAAAACTAAACTTATATGCCCATGACAAAATAAACAATTTTATACATCATTGCTGTTAAAAAAATGTTTATTGAATATCACCTAAAATGTTCATTTATATACAAAATTAATCATTTTGTTACTTAAAAAATTATTTTATTTGATATAAGACCCTTTATAAAATGTAAAAAAATATCCAAATGTTTATGCAAAATTAATGTAAAATTTCATGGTAAGTTTTGAAAATCCTGTTTAAAACAGTAACATAGTTTGATTGTGAAACAAGGAACTATTTACAACAGTGAACATTTAACTCCAAACATTCACATTATCACGCTCAAACTCATACTCCTGTTAACTTTCTGTCCTATTACTCTAGAACTGCGGGCTTGAGTCCCAAGTCCTATTTTGGGTCTTGGAAGGTTGTTTTGATGTACTCTTGCCTCTTCCAGCTCCCTAAAAAAGCCAAACATTAAATTTGATCAGAAGTGTACTTATTTTGAGGAATTGGTTTAACTAGTTTTCCCATTACAGTTTATCTTTAGTTTCAAGACCATCCAGACAAATTAAAATCATCACAAAAATTACATCACTAACACAGGGTTTGATCATATTATTTCTGCTTGCCCAAGGCTAGAGAATTAAACTTGTAGAGGTAATGTTCAGAGTTGGTTAGACTACATGTACTAGTAAGGTAAAATTTACATGTAGTCTAGTGGCTGGTACAAATATTTGAGATGCTCTTTGTATCAATACCTTGGACGTGTGATTGGTATTTTGTCAGTGTGAGCTACTATGGGTAATATTTACAGTCCTGTATTTTTGACCAGTAACTGGACTGACAAGGTGTTGCACATCTTGATCAATGTTGATCATGGCAATAATACGTTCTTGTAAAGTAAGAAGGATTCATTGTACCTTGAAAGGACCTCATTTTTAAATTTTTCTGCATTCAACTCCTTCTTTAGCTGGGCCTGTAAAAAATGAACAAGTGATTTCAGTGCAATTGGCTGAATCACTTAAACATCTTATCAAAAAAGTACTTTACATGTCATTGGTTAAAGATTCAGCCACACTAAATTGAAATGGTGAAGTAGTGTTGTGTAATGTACCTTGGATTTTGCAGCAAGTGGACAAAGAACTTGGTTTTGTTTCAGGGCTGTTGCAGATGGTCTGTTACTTGCTACAGGGTCAATCATAAGCTGGAAAAGAGATTAAAGAAGTTAATTATATTTTATACAGTAAAAAAATAAATAAATAAATAAATAAATAACTTTATTTATGTGTCAAATGTATTTAGCATTGTTGCACTAATTGGGGACACTTTAAATAAATAAACAAACATTGCAAATGGAACATAAACTATTAAGAATCCCAACTAGTAGGAGGCTGACCAGTTGGCTATTTACACAACATGGCCGAGGAGTTGAGCTTGGGACTACTGAGAAAAAAATCCAGATAGCGGTAGGTAGGAGGATTTGAGCCAGGGACCTCCAGATTTCAAATCCCACGCCCTAAACCACTCAGCCACGCAACCTCTAGTATAATTATATCCAACATTTAATCAAACATGACTAGGAGTAAACAAAAATAAGTGTACATACTTCTCATTCTTAAATTGTATATTTTTGCACATGTGTACTGCTCAACAGAGAAGAATGCATGTACATCTTAATAAATAGGAATACTGAATGTTTAATGCTGAAGTGCTTGAAAGTAGCAAAGATCATTATTTTCACTGAGATGAAAAACAGTGTCCATTTACAACAGTTTTGAATAGCACTAACCTTTAAAAGTGAGTTCATTTCATTTGAGATATGTTCAAGGTTTGGTAGATGCCCCCTCCTAAGGGAAGAAATAAGTAATTTGTTACGAGTATCATTGAAGAGCAGGGTTGTTTCCCTACAGAACTCAGGATCTCCTGTAACAGCAACAAACTAATTTATTTCCATAAGATAACTTCACGAATTTACAGCACTAAGCTTTTTCAAATTTGAATCAATCTCTCTTACAGAAGAAACACTCGCTCTAATTTACATGAGGCTTAAAGTTCTAGAAACTTCTATTTGGAACTAAATTAAGTAGTTTGACACAGTTTCTAATCTGAGTAATTACATAAGGATCAGGATGTGCTGGAATGTTCTTATACAAATTGGTCATGGCTGAATGACTTTCAGTTCTAGATTGTTCTAGAAATTGACGTAGACAATTTTTCGTAACATAGTTTTAGTCCAATCTCTGTTAGGGCAATGTGTGTTTTGGACTCAGCTGCAAGAATTTTGTTGCTAGATATTTTGTTATAGCTACAAACCTGATTTCATGCCATTTTTCGCCATTCTTTGGAAGTTCTGGTCCTCCACCCTTACAGTAAAAAGAGAATATAATTGTCATTTTTGTCTAATGCTGTAGGCTTGTTTATGCCATCCACTTCTTACAAGCCATTGATGTTAGCTATAGTTATGCAGTCAACAAGTCTTTGGCAAGGGACGCTATCTTAGTTTAAATGAGGATTTGAAACGACAGCATTTTTTTTTATTTGGTTACTGTTCATGTAGATTAACAAGTTTTGCACCAGAGTTTTCTCGGTTCACTTTAGACTGCAGGGCCGTAGCCAGAAAAAAATTATGGCTGAGGCAATGTCCAGGAAAAAATTACGACTGAAGCAATGTGATACTCACAGCCAAATAAACAGTTAATGCTAAAGCAAAAATGTCAGCCTTGGGTAATGCAGAGTAGTCCTGAAACAGACACATAACAAAACAAATTATGTTAGTTAACATTGACCACCAGGATGTTAACCTGTGAATGATGCCGTGTCTTATTAACTTTCATAACTAGTTGATACAATTACCAGTAATGGCATATCAATGTATCTAACTTTTGATGATCCATTGTGCCCCAAATGTACATGTACAATGTGATTTATAAAAGCTGCTTTTGACTGGAGACAGAGTCGGAGTCAAGGTTGGAAAAGGCTTTTAGCCAGGTGGGTGTCCAGGCTTCCAATGGATGAAAATTGTTTTATTTTTCACGTTGCCTTGTAAATTGTTCATTTTAGCAGACCCTACAGCACACAGCACACCCATGTTTCAGATCCTGGCCAAAAGCCTGAGTCAGAGTTGAAAGAGCACTTATGGCCTAGGGAAAATCAAAAATTGAAGTTGTAGGCGAAGTCATAAGCTCAACTGAATCAGAGTTGGAAGCAGAAGCGAAGAGCAAACCAATCACAATGCTAGTTCTCAGGCATTCTGATTCGTTATTCTTCAGCTTCTGCTTGCCACTCTGACAATCTAGTTTTCACTAGATCATAAGCAACAGAGTCAGAGGCAGAATCTGTATTCCACTTCTGACTCTGTTGGTTTGATTTTCCTGAGATCGTATCGCTCTGCACTTCTCATCAAACTTGAACTCCAACTCCAGTGAAAACCAGTCTTAAATGACATTGCACCACAGTCCCATTATTGTTCTAAACTCTAAATGTATACTGTCTTGACAAATTTATGGAAGCATGCTGACGACAATCATGAACGGTTAGCTCAGGTTATTGTTTCATGTTTAGATGTAATTATTTAATAACTTTACTTACCTCTTGTAGTATTTCATTGGGTAAAAATCTACAGTCGCCTTCCTCCACTTGTGGATTACTTATTGAAGTCACATGACCCAAGTCACCTATGTGTACGAAATAAACACAACAAGAAATTATCATTTTTGATGTAATTTGTTGTTACTGGCTTTAGACTTAAAATTTGACCAGTTTACTACATGTATGCTGCAGAGTTTCAATTTACATGTACACTTTATCTCCAATCTGAGTCATTTCATTCCACAATAAATATTCTAGTGTTTGATATTTATTTCTGATATGACTATGTTCAGCAAAAAATAAAAACAAACAAACAAAAATGTCAGAATAAAGATGTTAGTTTTACATACAATGTAATGACAATTTTTCTAGCTAAACATGTTTGTGAGACTCAAGCGTACCTATTTTGTAAAGTGGCATTCTTTTTCGTGGACCAGGAGTTTCATTTTCATCAAATCCTTCATCACCACTGTTGTGGCATTCATCTACATCTGTGTTAAAGCTAATGAAGATATTCCCTGAAAAGTAACAAAAAGTGAGCATGCAGTAGAGCAATTAGCAAACCCACCAAAACTTTGTCAGGAAAGACTCTCATCTGTTCACAAGGTTAAAAAAAAAACACAAAAAAAACTCCTACTAATATGTACTGTTGGGAGATTTGTGCTTCTCTTGTGGGCCTCTTTGATGTGGACACACACTGTACAGAATGGTGTGTCTATAATTTTTTTCTAAATGGATGTGTCTGTAGGGAGATCTGCAATTATTGTAACAAAGAATTACATGTAATTACATGTATATGCAAGTTTGCAAGCCCTAGTATTTCACAGTAATGATCGTTTCCAGTACCATGACGTTATCATGAATCAGAATAGCAGAACAGAAAAAATGGTTGTGATGGACATCTTCAGCCTTGCTGATCAAACTTCATTTCATACATTTTTATTCTGCTCTAATTTTTAACAAGTGCAGTAATTCCTTTGATTAGCACTTTGATTGTATATGAAACTAAAATGTTGTTTCATGTCACCTATCTAAACATCTTGTATCCGACCATCCAAAGTGTATCACGTGAATGTGCAATGCAGTCTGGGACAGATTTAAGATTATCTAATACTATTTTTGTTTCTTTTATTTGTGTCCAAATCAAGCTTGAAATTTTGTAACAAAAAAATTTCCGCTACTGATTGTTTCCCACAATCACTAATAACTGAAAACATGTTACTGATGAAAAGTGAACTACTAAGGCTCGAGTATGGCCTACCAGGTTTGATGTCCATATGAACCAAACCTAAAGAATGGATATACTTTAAACCCTGCATGTTAAAAATAAAAGGAAAAAAGTGTAATTAGAACAAATCAAAAATGTAATGGAGTTGGTGTATTAAGAAGTACAGTGTCAAACAGTCGCTGGCTGCTTTTAAATGCATTTATATTCAGAGAACTTAAACCAAAGTCATTTATAACATTGCATCATATGATGTGATCACCTCAGCTACTTGAATAAGAAGTGGTTTTAATTCTCCTTCTGTCATAACTTCATTTGAGTTGTTATTTTTTTCAATCAAGTCAGCCAGACTACCCCCTGAAAAAAATGTAATAATAGCTTGTGTTAGTGTACATTAGGGAAAAGACTGAAAAGGTAAGATTCTTCTTCAACAAGTTATGTCTAGCAAACCTTCACAGTATTCATTCTGTATCAACATGTGTCCATCTTCTGCCCATGCAGAGTAATATCGAACGACGTGAGGGTTTTTTCCTAAGACAGCATGGGCATATACCTCACGCATAGCATTTTGCCTGGAGACAAATCAAATTGCAATTGTGTGTATTTTAGTGCATAATGTTTAGGTGTAATAGTGAGTAACAGAGCTACATATGTTACAAATTTGTGCCATATGGCACTATCGGGACTTAAAGGGTTAAGATGTTGAATAAATAGCAACAGGTAACTGACTTCATGCTTTGAAAAATTGTAAATGACCAAAAATTACTTATAAAAATAATACTTACTCATTTACAGAGCCTGCAACTGGTTTCAGTGACCGCTTTAATGCATAGATACATCCATCTAATTTGAAAAGACAATATTTTCTGCTTATACTATAGATACCATTATAAAACCAACATGTAAATAATAATCTTACACTGTATTCCAGCTTCGTCTGGCTAAGTCAACTTCATCTGCTGCAGGAGCTCAGCACAAGAAACATACTTTTTTTTAGAAAATAATGTTGTTTACTGTTTGAGTCAATGTTTTGACAGTGCTTTTCATTCAAAAAAAAGTGTTGGGTGATCCTGAATGAAGTTTCCTCAGGGTAAAATAATTTATTGTGTGATCCTTTGTTTTTGTCAGGAATGATATGAATACCCACCTAATCTGTTGACGCATTTATGAACTGAGCCAAACTGGCCTGATCCTATAGTGCTTATTTCAGCAAACTCAGCATTATAACGTGAAATGTTACTCTCATGGAGCGCGAGTTTCTGCAAAATTAATGAAAAGTTGAGTCAACTGAAGGTATATAAAGTGCAACAGCAGATTTTACAGTCAATGGAAAAACCACCCCAGCAATTAGAAATGATATTGACTACCAGAGCAGGGCTCTCCCTAGTTTTCAACACAACAGGTAAGGGACCTTTTCAAACCGGTAAAGCATTTGGTTAATGTTGGACGTTCTGCAAAGGATAAGCGACAATTTGAACTTTTGCACCACGTTGGTTGAGCTAAGGTTAGCGCTGTCCCTCTATGTATAAAAATAACCTTCACACAATCAAGTTTTCTCTCTCTAGCCTTACTGACTGCTTGTGTTCCTCTGAACTGCCATGCTCTGATATTGCGGCCTTCCTGTAGCGTGTACCGGGCGCAGTAGCATATTTCACATTTTCTCCTGTTTTAATATGCTTTGTACCAGTTCTTACAAAGACAACAAAACATTCCCTCGCCCTCTTTAAATGCCAGACACCATACACTACTTTTAATGCAGAATACAATGTCATCATCAATCCAGTCATGCCTGAAAACATGGGGCTTTGATGGCAACTGCCTGCTTATTTCACTTTAAATGCGTATTTTAAATGAGCGTTTACAGGCGGTAATAAGTGCTCTTACAAGTGGTAAATTTTACTGGTTACCGCCTGATAAGGAGAACCCTGCCAGAGACTCTGACTTAAAGAGCAAGGGAAAACTGGGTCTTAAGATTTTTTTGTTATTTTCCCGGTCTACTGGGCACATCATAGTCTGTTCCAGGTTTTCTTAGTTCTATCTCATTTTGTGAGATGCTAACAACATTGCTTGTGTTCATGGCACAACATCACCATAATACAATAAGATTTTGCACTGTGTATCATGTGAGTAATAGATGCTAGCCTCCCATGCAGACGCTCTTTGGACTCATCACGCAATCTTCCTCCCTCATGATATGTGGAGGAGGTTCAAAGATTGGATGATGAACCAAAGAGCATCTGCACGGGAGGCTAAATGGATGCCTGCTTACAAGCTCACCTTGGCTGGATTTCCAAATATTTCATCATCCATGTCTTCATCATCATTATCATTACAAACTGAACCATCCCTGAAAATGAATTTAGCAGTACTCAGGCATAGTGGATGTTGGGACAGTCACATGAGACATCAGCTTTATCTTATAGAAGAGTCTTGATCCTAGTGATGCTAGACACAGTAATTACATATGAGCCTACATTGTAGTAAATAGTGAGGCTCCACATAGCCCAGTGGCTAGAGTGCCTGGCAAGTATCTGGGAGGTCATGATTTCAAGGCTTTGAATTATTTTTTTCTTTTTCCTACACTGATCACACATGACAAGAGCATTTAAATCTTCCTCAAGGGTTTTACTGTTCTAAAAGTTGTCCTGTATGCATATATAACACCCAACCAATTTTGAGTCTTTAGGAAGGAATGATGCTTTGGAGGGTCAAAATCTCAAAAGTTGCCCTTTTGAGAACCAAAATCACCCCAGACTTGCACTTTTGGCATTGAAATTTTGGACGTGGCGTACAGCATATGTGTTCCCACTTCTCTATTTACACAGGAAATGTGACGCAAAAGAGGGCAAGGAGTGGGAGAGAGGGAGATACATAGCAATAAATGAATTTCTTTTATTTAAACCAAACGTTTTAGTACCTGGCTGCCACAAATGCCATGGCTAGCATATAACTCAGAAATAATTTAAAAAAAAATTTTTTTTTTTTAATCAGACTGACAGTCTTGTAAACAATAATTTATTGACCGTCCCATCTTGCTAACAAAGTCCAGTGGGCGGGGAGTGGCAAAATGGCAGTTGGTAGTACAAATCAAAGTTGCAGGAGATCCATTTGTTTACATGACCTGGTAAAAAAAAACCTGTAATACAAGACCAAGTTCATAATCTCGTGTCCCTTACTACAGGGAAAGATTACTCGGCAGTTCAAGTAGATTATGAATTAGGTACGCCCAATAAGTCACATTGCAAAAGACAAGTCTACAAACACAGCCGTTCAATACAATAGTGCCATTAAAAGCAAAATTACATTACAGCGAAGCCATGTACAATATATTGTAAACCTGACAACTTACCCTCCATCTCCATTTCTTGCTCGCTTTGCACCGATGGCAGAAGCGTCCGGAGTAAACGGATTGACGTTTGCAGCCATTTTGCGCGATCGCGGCCCCATTCGAGGTTCGCTTTCAAATCCACGACCCTTCAGTAAACCACGACGTAATCTTGACACGGGTTTTTTGAAATCTACCGTGCGATTGACTGCAGACGAGCGTTCGAGTAAACTTTTAGGCGTTTGCGGCGAGTCAAACAAGCGAAGCGCTCCAAGCGAAGGTGGCGACAGCGGCGGAGTGGTGGGGTCGTTCATTTCACTTTTGACTGGTGATTCATCCGACAAGGAATCTCTGAAAGGACTCGAAAACCCGAGATCCCAGCCTTCGTCCATGAATTCAGGCGACATTGATTCCACAAGCCGTGAAGAACTCGCGTTGCTGGCCGTCTCTGTTGACGACCTGTCCATTCCACAGTCGGTTTCTTCGAGCACAAATGGAAGGCGTCCCAATCGAGATTTTATGAACGCCATCAAAGCAAGCCGTTATAAAATGATCGTAGTACGTTTCAAGAACTATTTCGATAAATTTGGACTGAAAATGAGCGAAACTGCAACTAAAATCCAAGACGCCGAGCGTGAAATGCAGTGAATGAAGGAGTGAATTTGCGTAATAAACGGTGCGACAAACAAATGTTTGATCCAGCCAATCAGAAGCTTTCAGATCATGTGACTTACCGAATTTGGCGGGAAACTGCGATAATGATCTCACCCTCCCCTACTGCGCTATCAGAAATATTCCTGTGGAAACTTTTTCAGATTTTTTTTTTTTCATTTCAGTGTTGTTTAATCAGGTGTTTAAAGCAGTATTACAATTGTACAGAAGTCCTCTTAAAGGAAAACGTGTGATTTGTTTTGTCGATCTTTATTTGACGACTACCTCTATAAAGAAGTATGGAAAACTTCCGCCAAATTGAATGTAGATTCTTAGATTACAACGATTAAAGCGGAAGAAAAATTGATCCATTGCTAAGAATTGTTTATTACAGGAAAAATATCTATAAGCATTTGCCCGGTCGATATCACATTACTACTAAACGGGAAACCATCTTGTCCCGTAGGAACTGGGTACCAATGATATGCCAAGAATTGTCCCCTCCACCCAAAGTTGTGTTCCACTCCTTGAAGTATTCGAAGTTTACACTGCGGCGAAGGATTCTCCCCCTAAACAAGGTTCCTTTCTGTTATTCACGGTTGCTTTCTCAGATTTTGTGACATGGCTAAACCAGGAGATGCTGACAAGCAGTACAAACTGGTGGTTGTCGGAGGTGGCGGCGTTGGCAAGTCCGCGCTCACAATTCAGTTTATTCAATCACATTTTGTCAGTGACTATGATCCAACAATCGAAGACAGCTACCGTAAACAGTGTGTCATCGATGAAAAAGTCGCACATTTAGACAGTAAGTGAAGAACTTGTGTTGTTTCGCTGTCAAATTAGTTATGGTAGAACGCTACGAAGTAGCATAACCTGATCGTATGGGCCGAGTTGGGAGTGTCAAAAGCTACAACCCTGCAAAACCGAAGAAATTCGCAGTCGAATATCCCAGTAATTCATTTTCAACATTTTTGGAGTACAGTTAACCACTATTTTTAGATAGATTTTTATTTCTATGTCTTTGAGATACACAAGATAACGCACAAGTGTTTAAAATCCTATAGTATAAATTTTGTTCAGTGTGTATGGAAATAATGGCCACAGTTCACACGTTCATATTTGGGAATGGGAACAAATATTCCTGCCGCGAATTGTTGTGTATACAGACCACAACAATATCTATTTAATGGGAAATTACAGCCTTAATTATATACTTATTTGAGACTTGCATTAACCGCAAAAAGTAAAGCGTCGTTTTACCTTAATTAGGGAACAGAAGAAAGCAGATCAGCTTGCCGAAGTTGTTACATATGGCTGCATTCTTAGATCTTTGACTGAACCTGTTCGGTCACAATATGTCACTTCTCAGCTCTTTAAAAATACGATCTTGATTTGCAGCTTGAAATCAATTTTCTTCGATATATTTTTACAAACTACGCAATCTTGCATGGAATACGGTTTTAAAGTGAAACTGTAAAGCGGTATGAGGAAGATTTGTTCTTACTATTAGCAAATTGTTTTGATAGCTTAAGCTCAAATGTGAAAGAAATGATCACACCTTTTGGTTAATCGTTATTTTGAAACAAAAGGCATACATTCTTTATTGTTGTGAATCTTTGGATACACCACAAAATTAGAATGTCAGAATTATTGTTGAGAGTCAAACATTCTTTTATACCCAAAATAAAGGTGACGTACAAGATTCGAGGATTCCATGTAGATGGAAAAAAATGAAACTAATTACATTATTTAGAAGCTATTTGTTTTCCTGATTGAAATTTGTCAGTTTTCACCTGTACACTAATAAGTTGAATGCAATGATGGAAATCTTGTTGTGTTTTAATGATAAAAAGAATAAGTTTTTAGTGATATTCAGATCATCTTATAACCTGACCGAAACACATTTTCTTACAACCTCCTTCAAAGTAATATATATATTTTATAATTCCATTTGTTTTTGTTTGGAGACTGAAACAAATGCTTAAAACATTTTAACTGAAAATGATACCTTAAGAAATGTTGTTTGAATATTCATTTGTGAGAGATTTCCTGCCCATTACTCACAGTTGACTTATTCATTTTTACTGACATGGACAAAAAAAATTACCATAATTTTTAATTTTTTTTTGCATTATAATTATTACATTTTGTTTTTTAGAAAAGAAACATTTAACCTTTCAAATTTCCCCCACTGCTAGATTGTTTTGATAACTCCTTCTTACCATTGTTTAGCTGTACTGTCCTTAAGAAAACCCCAACTAATTTCTCTCCAGGTAAATGTTCAATGAACTAGGAGTTTTAGTATCAGAGTAGGGGATGGCATTAGAGTTCAAAAAAAACACTGTCAATACAATCTTGGCAGGTTTGATAAAAACAGCTCTAGTTTCTGGGTTTTGGAACATAATTTGTGCGACTCGGTTGAAATTGTGAATCTTTTTAGAACTGAACAGTTTGTTTGTTATTTATTTTGCCATGAGTTTGGTGAGTGCAGTTTTATTTTGTTTTGTCTCAGCAAACAAAGCACAACATGGCTCAAAGGTTGAATTATTTTAATAACTCAGTAGGAAGAGATTCTGACTCAACAGTCAAATTTATTGCCTCAACAAGCGAAGAATACTGTAAGTGATCTGGCTCAATGGTCTCAACGGGCAAAGCATAATGGGAAGGATTTTTATCTTGGGCCAAATTTGCTTTAACACAGAGCTATTTTGCATCGCACCTTTCTCCCATGACCAGCAAGCTGTAGATAACAGTTTACTCAACATAAGCATTTTGCCTGATACTTCACTTCTCCTGAGTGCACCATGAAAAACCTATCTCCATGAAGTAGGAATTGATCTATACCTTTCGCAGCCCCATTCGCAAGTCAGCAAAAAGCACTCACATAATAGAACAGCCAAACATGGTGAGATACGTCTTTTATTAAAAACTGGATCATTGAATAATGCAATTAAGGGTTTTTTAATTGGCTTAGCTATCACAGTATATGAGCCATTATTGTGTGCTCTACAAATATGCTAAGCATATGTATACCTTTTTGGGGTGCCTCATTGACTATCTACCGTCTCATATCCACAAACACTTATAATTGAGAAATTTCTCTAGCCTTCCTTGAGATTCGTAACTGAACTGTTCATGGTCTTCGGTAGTTGATGAATATATTTTCATGAGCAAAATTCTAAGACATCACAATAAAATTAAAAAAGGAATTTTTTGGATAAAACTGGAACTTTGGAAATTTAGTGACAGAACCTTCCACAGATCTCTTTCCATGTGCAATTTTAAGTGACATCATTGCAGGTGTGGATGAACTAGCCTGCATTGCAGACTGAAACTTTGCTGTAAATAACCGTCTACAAATTAGTGCACAAATCCTTGTTCAAAACTCCCAATGTGCTAATAGGATCTGAGTAGCATGTGTGATTGGTCTCTTCATCACGCAATTGTTTAATACTGTGGTAAATAGCTCTCATTGGGTAAGGGAATCTTGGGCACTGTCTATAACTGGAAATGATCAGTGACTGGAAATACCTCGCAGCTTGAATTGTGTTAGACCTTCTCCTTGAACAACAAGATGAGAGGAAATCATTCTTCCAAGGGAAAAACAATTTTGTGAATTTACTCACATAGTCATTGTCCCGGACATCGTAAATATCAAACTTCGTGTTTCAAGTGTTGTCATTATGTCACTGTTGCAATTGCTGATGGAGGGCCGAGTTCAGTATTTGACCAAATTGGCTATTCCAGTTATTTTGGCAACTGATGACCAAGACCCAGAGATCATTTAGC